TTAGCTTAAGTGTTTTTTCACTGGAATGAGAAGAGAGGGGACGAGGGGAAGGCGGAGAGAAGCAGGGGGAGGAGAAGGAAAAATAAGGAAAAATAAGAAACAGCTTTAATACCGTGTTTGAAAGAGTGAAACCACAGTTAGAGAACATGATAAAGAACCATTTTTAGGTTGAATTCTCATAAAATGTAAACTCTTGCTTCGACAGGCAATCAGTTTTATTAATGGAACTGGGCGATAGGAGAGTAGAGCTTAGTTTGGTTTCCATTTTTCCCCTTTGCTCTTTGCTCCCTGCCACCCCAAAGACAATAAATATTTGTTATATGAACACACAGCCCTGAGAACTCCAGCTTCGTGTTTTACTAAAAAATAAAATTAAATGTTTTCATGGCATCTAAGTAATATGATTTTTTACAAATGTTTGAGAGTTTAAAGCATTTTCAACAAAATTTAATATGTATTGAGAACCTGCTACATGCCAGGGTGATTTAGAGCCTCCTCCAAACAGAAAATGTATCAAGAAGTTATAAAGAATCCAACTGATACTAAGTAAGATCATTTTTCTAAAGTTAAAAAAAATCAATTAATTAGCTACCCCAAATGTTACTTACTTGCATTCTCAAGTGTTATGTTCACTAATACCAAAATGTTTGTAAGATATAATATATATTTTTATGTCTATAAGACATAAGAATATATTTTTAGGCTATGCCATAATTATTTTTAAAGTATTTTAATTGAATCACAAAATCCAGCTTTTTGTTTTTTATAGATTCATATCTGAAGTCACGTGATAGACAGTAATGGCTAAGGCTCCCCAGTTAAATAATGCACAGGTTTTGAAAATTCGTAGTTGTACAGCACGTATTTAGTTAACTGCATTGGTCTGAAGGGGGTTATTACGACCACTGTGTCTTGCCTCAGAGCATCTGCTGTTTTCTCACCTCCATTTATTATTACTCTTGTTGAATAAAAATAGCGCTCACAATTTGAAAACTGTTTAAAAATACTAATGGTATGACAGAGCTGAGACGTGTTAGATCTGTCGTCGACCTGTAGCAGACTTGCCTAAGAAATGGCAAAACTGAATTGGAAGCTGGCAAATGACTAAGAATTTTGAATGACTCCAGTAAAACAGACCCTCCCTGGATCTAAACGAAGATTCTTTCCTGACCAATGAACCTTGGAGCTTGTTTTAACCTACTGTGTGGGGACTTAAAAATTCATTCTGCCTTCTCCAAGGTATAAACTTCAATTGTTAATTGGCATAGCCACAGTGAACTTCTTTCTAGCACATAAAAAACAAAAATTGTCCCTGTCAGAGAAGCGTTTGGCAAAGTTGCTCACTTGTGTGTTTCCTTATCTTTCAGAAAATAAGTTCATTTACATTTTCAAAAACACTGCCGTGGTTTTGCCTTTCCTTCTACAAATTTAAAGTGGAAGTTAATAACAACTGTATTTGGCCTTATCATGTTGTTTTCATATATTCCCCCCCTACTCCCTACAAAAAAAAACAAAAACATGGTTTATCATTTGTTACAATTTGCTATTTTCCAATACAAAATACCTGTCCTTATATTTTTATTAGCTTATCATTTAAAAATGTCAAACAAAAAAAAGTTATGGGAAAACCATAAATCCAGTCCCCAAATCCTGAATATATGAGAAGAGAGAGTATTCTAACAAAATAATTCTAATGAACTTATGAAGATTCTATAAGGAATACTTTCACACAGAAATGAATACTGATGACATTAAATTATAATGGAAAGCTTTTAATATAGTATAAATTATCATAGAGTGATATCACAATGTTAATTCTCTTTATCCAAAATTATAAAACATTTAAATAGAAGACACTAGACTTTCTAATTAGTTTCCTCTAGTTCTCTTCTAGCTTCAAACCCATATCCTTTGTACTCTAAATTTCACCTGTTTGACTTCTACACGTGTTAATGTCCTGAGCACATGTCATCTCTTGTGTTTCCTGATTAGCTTCAAAATTCTGGCTGAACCGACTGTCCTTTGAATCTAGGATTTCAAAGTACATCATACTCACTTCTAATACAGCGTTTGTCATGCTTTATTCTAATTACTTACATGTCTGCTGTTCTAACAGAATTTTTCTTTTGTAGAAGCATAGGCTCTGTCTGGTTTACCTTCGGATCCCTTAAAGCATCTGACATAGCTCCTGGTAAGTACTGCCTTGGTGAACATTAAACCTGCTTTTATTTTTATTAGACATTTTATTAAGAGATAGTATGTGATGCAGTGGATTTTCTTAAGCCCCATAATTCTGCTGGTAACGTCCTACCTGAATTTCATACATTAATGTGTATGGTATGTGTGCATGTTTGTTTACGAGTATGAAATTCAAAAGTAGCATAATTTATAGATAGCCATCAATGGTTTGTTAAGAAAATCAATCAGCATTTAATTAATAAATGACGTACACCCAGCAAATGTCTCGTGTCACAAAAATGATTATATTTGATGACAGAAATACAAACAAAATCATAATTTAAAAATCTAGTATTTTTCTTTGTTAAAAAATATTAGCGGAATCCAGGACACAGAGAAAGCAACTGAATAGATCTATGAGTAAATTAATGAATACGTAGGTAATTCTTAGGCCTCGCGTGTATTATACAATTTTTCCTTACTGATATAATTTCCCATGACACAAATTCTAATTTCTGCCTACTATGTTTAAAATAGCTTTAAACATTCATATATGTAATTAAACACAATATATTTGATCAGAGAAGAGAGATGATCTAAAAATAGATTATAAATATTCTCTATAAATTCATGTGTGCCACGGTACAAATAGTGAGTTTTGGATTTTGATAGATCTAGGTTCAAATCTTAACTCAGTCACTTAATGGCTGGCGATCTTAGTAAAAGTATGTAATTTCCCTGAACCTTTAAAGTAAAGATTATTTCTAATTTATTGTTTAGATTAAATAAAACAAAGGATGTAAAATGTTAGGTAGAGAGACTATTACCCTGAAGGCACCTGTCTAGTTCTTTTAGCTATTATATCTCTTTCTCTGTCAAAGTCTGGGTCGGGGGCTTAAGTATCCTTTGTCTTAGAAAAGAGTGATGAAGAATTTACTAGAGCTAATGAATCTTAGCTAGGTTTGAAGGTGGCTTATACTCTGGCCAAGTCAATGAAGATAACTAAGTTTATGCGATAGCTCAGGCAAGTAGACACAAAAATTAAAAAAAACTTAATGAGAAGCAAAATAGGCAAGAGGTGTGAGTGGTGATATGCTTTTAACTTCCCTATATTAAGCCAGAAACCAAGCAGCTCATTGCTTAGTTACACAGACTTAAAACCTTTTAGAGCTGGAAAAGAATGTGTAGTAATATTGGCTTTACTAATAGAGAAACTAAGGCTGAGGGGCAAAATAACTTGTCTGAGGTTCCACAGCTGGTTAGAGGCTGATGTAGGACAAGGGCCCAGCTTCCTTGTAACTTGGTTCAATAAACAGTCTTTCCTCTACCCAGTCACATTTCTCCATGCTTACCCAAATGAGGAAGGTAATACCAGCTGGGATATCGAACTTCCAAACCCCTGCTACTGCAGAAATCTTCCAAAGGCTATATACCAGAAAATACTCATAGGAAATGCATACTTATTACTTCTAGATAGGGTTTGCTTTCCTCCCTAATCATTCCCATATCTTTTTTTGCTCTAGTGTTCAGGGATGGGTCATGTATGAATCTCAAGGACTCTTACTCTCCCTTTGGCCAGGTGTCTGGAGGAGAAGCAAGCCAGGGAGTCTCCTCTGTGTTCACCTCCCATGGGTCTCCTTGGGTCATGCTTGGCCTGTTAAGGCCAGTAGGCATTCCAAGCCGGAGACAGCCACGTCCAACTCACTGCATCAGTTTCCACACACGGAGCGAGCCCAGATATTAAGTCACAACCATCAAGAACAACAGCCACCATCATCTTCTAAGTGCCTACTATACAATTAGCAATATTCTGAGTGATTTACATATAGTATCTCCTTTAATTTCCACACAATCTATAGGGTAGGACTTACTATCTTCATTTTATAGATTTATAGTTGAGAAAGCTCAGGTCAAGTGATGTACCTAAGGTTATGCAATTCCGTGGTAGAACTGAGTTTCAAACCCAGATTCCATGCTCTATAACATTATCTTTTTTTCTTGGTAGAGAAATCAAAGACTGTTGTCACCAGTTAAGGTTTCTTTATAGCAAATTCACTATGTTCACTAAAATTTACATTTAGAAAGTCCAATTCTTGAATGATTAAAGACATTATTTTTCTCACTCACTTATCAAAACTTCTGAGTGGAAGAGAATACGTAGGGGCAAGAGAAAGACTTGAATTCCTCTTAAAGGTTAGAATTTGCCCTTTACAATGACAAAAATTTAATTATTCTTTATTCGGAAAGGACTCTAACTCCACCTGTAAACTGCTTTCTTGAAAAAGGTCCAGGAGCTCCTGTTAAAAAATCATGATTTTCTTTTTAAAAATCATATGGAGGAGAAATGGTTTTTCTAATGTTTCTTTTTAGATGGGTACAGGTAGAAACAGTTCAAAGAAATATACAAGCAAATAGCATCTCTCTCCATGTGTGCTATGTGTGTGCATTGCATGTAAATGAATATATATACACATGTAAATGTTCTTCTCATTAAAACACATCATTCTGTTACACTAAAGCCAATATTCCATAATTTCATTTGACATCTATTAGTGCCAGCTAATGGGATGGGCTCTGTGAGTTTTGTGTGGAACGAGGTGGCCCTACTCTCGAGGAGCTCTCATAAAAGAGAAATGTCCCTAAATCCAGGAATCCATTTACATTCAGTAATTTACCAAAGGAAATCAACTTTCGTATATATACGTTTTTGTTCTTAGTTCCAAGAAATAAGTCACCTTATGGCTAGAGGAGAGTGACATTAAATATATCAATTAAAACTATAACATACGCATAACCATTATCTTCAGCATGGCTTATCTTACCTTGATCTTTTGGTGATAACGATATAGAATTCTGCATTGTAACGTATTTGACTTGAAATAGTAGCTTCCCTAAAAATAACCAAGCACAAGCAATAATTAGAAATAATTGAAATGCCATGTTAATACATACAAAAATATAAATAAGCTTTTAAAAAGGCTATAACTATATGAGTAATAAAGAATTGACTGAACTATTAAAAAACTGATGTTTTCATTTCATTCTCATTTTTATACAGACAGGATCTCACTGAATGTACTGGTGTGAGCCTGGAAAGGGAAGCAATGACACACTGAGAGACAGTACCTGCATCTCTATCCTTGTAGGGTCAGAGAAGTGCGAGTAGGTATAATGAAGCTTCCCCCCAAATGTGCGGCCTGATAATTATGTTTAACATACTCTGTTTAAGAATAACTAAAATGTTTAATAATATAGGCAAGGGCAGTATAATTGCAATATAATCATTTGATAAAATGTAATTCAGTCATTAAAATGTGATAATGAAGACTATTTAGCAACATGGAAAATGCTGATGATATAATGCATTGGATGAACATACTAAATGACATACATATGAGGATAACAATTATATTAAAAATGCACAGAAAAATACATGACAGAAAATATGTTTATTGACATTGTGTTTGGTGATAGAATTGCAGATGTTTTCCCCTCATTTTAGCTATTTTTCGAATCGTCTATAACGTAGGTTTCCATATTAATAAATTTTTTGAATGTAAAAATAAGACAAAGTCCTTGAAAAAATACAGGTAAATATTTTTATAAGGCTTCATAGAAAATATACTAAAATATACTTAGAAATACAAACACTGTTTCTAAATGTAAGACCTAATCATTTACTCACATAAAATACATGCACATAAAAATACATGTGCTCCTTAACACAAATGGCTGAACTAGACAGGTTATAATGACTGGGAGAGCATTTTTCTACCTAAATAAAAATCTGTTGGGGAAAATATGTTCTAGCTTTACCCTTATTTTTTTTCTTTCATAGGTTTTCAGTAAAATTTCTTCCAGTGGCTCTAACTACAACTCTAAATTTATATTCCCAGGTTCCAGGATGAAATATTCTCTGGGTACTACATATGTCCACTTGACTACATGCAAACTAAATCTAGCTCCTTCCTCCTCTGAAATATTTTTTAAAGCTCTTGCCTCTGTTCCATCCCCACCATTACTGCCGTAGTCAGGGCTTGCTGGTATTAGAACAGCCTCTAGATTGTTTCTCTGTCTCCAGTTTTATATCTTTCTAATCCATTCTTTTTGATGCAGTTAGCATGATCTTTCCACTTTTTTTAATTAAAAAATTTTAAGTTTATTGAGGTCTAAATGACAAATAAAATTGTATATATTTAAAGTACAAAATGTGATTTGACATATGTATACTTTGTGAAATGATTACCACAATCAGATTAATTAACATATCCATCACTTCATATAGTGTTTTTTTTTTCTTTTTTCTTTGCAGTGAGAATACTCCAGGTATACTCAGCAAATTTCAAGAATGCAACACAGTATTATTAACTATAGTCACCAAGTTGTACATTAGATCCCCAGAGCTTATTTATCTTATCTTTCCCAGAGACAAACACTTTCAATTCTTAGAGCTGATTCTTACAGGATTTATACCTCCATTTCTACCAATAACATGCATATAATCCTACTTCTTGTTTGGTTTTAGGCAGTTATCTATTGATTCCTACTGTAAAGGATGGAGATTCATCTCTATTTCTCTATTTCTCAATCAACAAAAATTTTGCTTAATAATTTTTCTGAGTATAGAATTCTAGGTTGAAATTTAAAATCATTGTTCCACTGTCTTCCGGTTTCTATTTAAGAAATCCAAAGCCACTCATGATCCTTTGTATGCAATTTGTTTTTATTTTTTTCTCTATGGAAACAATGTTTATAAAATTCACAGTAAAGTGTCTCAACCTAATTTCATCCATTTGTCAAGTGTTTAGTGGACCTTTTCAATCTGGAAATTCTTGTATTTTAGATTCTGGAATAATTTCTCCAATTATTTTTCTGAGATTTCCTAATTTACTTTACTCTGTTCTTTTTCCCCTGAACTCTCATTATTCAGATATTTATCTTCCCTGAGGAGGGGGAGGAATTTATATATATTTACATATATATATTTTTTTACATACACACACACTCACATACACACACATTCTCCATGCTTTACCTCTTTTACTTTCGCTCTTTCTGAAGAAATTCCTTAACTTTATCTTCTAGAGTTTCCGTTGAGTTCAATCATCATCTTTACCCAACAGACAAGAATCTTTTTAATGCAAATCTAATCATGTTTTTCCTATGGTTCAAATTCTTCAGTGGCTCCCTGGTGTCCAAAAGATAAAGCCCAACCTCTTTTGCACAGCACATGAAGCCTTTCACACACTGGCTTGTATGGTTATCACCACTATGTTATTAAGAGGTGCATCTCAGACGTCAGCCAGGGAGGCCGGCTCTCACATGTCTCCACAATTCTTCATGGAATGGCTTTCTCTTCCACCTTGCTGTATAATTCCTACTCAGCTCTTCTGCAACATCTACCTGGGCAATTAGAAAATTTTCTATTGATCTATCCCATTATCTTCCAACATACTCTGACTGACTCTTAGCACGTGGCATCTATTTAAACTGTCCATTTTCCCCTTAAATTTGTTAGTTTCTTGATGGCAGGGACAATCCTATATTTATCTTTATATTTCCAGAACTTAAAAGTGACTTTGTATATAAGGTTTAATGTTTATTGAATAAATGTCAATAAACCTGTAAAAACAAGAGTCCTAGAAACTATTTAACAATACTTGCACAGTTCCATTTAGTGCTTTTCATAGCAGTTAAATCTTTTATTTTCAATAGACATTTTCTAAAATTCAGAATCACTTTTTTTAACAAATAGTGTTTTTGAAATCTGAAGGAATGTCTCATTAATTTTGCCACTGCTTACTTGTCTACCACTTAAAATGACATAAAATTGATCAAGTTAATTTTTTCAGTAATAAATTTTCTTTGATCTCTACAGATTGCCTGTTTGTGTTTTTAGAAGGACTGAACCACTCTCCTAAAATGACTTAAAAATTGTAACAGGTAAATGTAAAAAATGTCCTATTTTCCTCAACTTCTGTAATATTAGGCTTGGGGCTTCTAAAATACAATGTTATTTTAGATGTCTATTCCTGGGAAACAATGATTTCCAACATTATCTATGAAACCAAGTTGTTGACAATGCTGCTTTGCTGTTAAAAGGCCCCAGTGCATTTTAGTTAAGTCAAATAAGACCCAAGTTTTAGGTAAGTTTTAACCAACAGGCATCCTCTCCCATTTCTTATTTATTCAAATGTAGAAGATACAGATGTAAGAAAAATATTTGGTTCTTTCTACATGAAACAGAGCATCTTTGGAGAGTTTCCAGCCTGGCTTCTTAATGCTAAAAGAATGAAGAAGTTGGTCAGGCCAGTGACGTTAAAATCATGGTGAAGATGAAAGCGTTTCAAAAAAGAATTGTACCATTTGGTAATAAATGACATGCCTCAGTACAATAAATACGATAAAATTAAAAGGCTGTCATTTACATGTCCAGTCCATGATATAGATACAGATCGTGAAAGTTCATTATTTTGCTCCCTTCAATCAGTCTGGCTGCCAGCGTTTCAGTGAAGTTTGGACTTAACTCGTTACTTTGAAATGATCATGATTCCACCGTTCTTGCTCTTCTCTTATCCACATTGTCACACAATCATCTTTAAACCTAGCGGGTTTATAGCAAATTTATATAAGATCATTTTGGATTCCTCACATTCCTTTTCTATCTTAAATCTTACCTGCTGCCAAGTACCAAAGAGTTTTGGTTTCATCACCATAGACCAGTCAGTGGACCTGGAACAAACTCAAGTTTCTACCGCCTACCTCTCTTCCATTCTAACCCATTTACAACACTTTCAGTACAGTCCATTTCTCTCTGAGCTCTGCTCCCATCTCTAGCTTTCTCCTACTTTATAGATTCTGCTTTAAATTAAAATCCCATCAATTAGCTTTAACAAACTTCTTTGCTTAAATTCCTGCTTACTTCACCCATGTTTTATATTTTTCCATTTTCCTTTGAGTGTGTGAATTGCTGCTTAATAATGATTCTGGTGATTTTTATTCCTCTTTTAAAACAATTCAAACGTTCATCTTTTCCCTGGAACACTCTAGTCACAGATTTACCTTTTCGGCATTTCCTACATTTAAAAAAATTTTGTCTCTGAAAGCATTTGTATAACACTTAGGTTACCATAAAATGATTCTCTCCAACATGGAAAAAGCTAAATAAAAATGAACAAGCCTCCTTCTCATTCCATAACCTCAATTATCCTCCTCAGAGGCAACAACACTTAGCACTTTTGTGGGTATACTATCAGAAGTAGTCATCTGTGTGGCTGTCGACTAACATGTTTAGATACATGCTCTACCCACTACCTCCTCTCCCCAAATTAGAGTATATTATACATGCTACTCTTTTTTCACTAATATATTTTTAAGAGCTCTCCATACCAGCATTTATGGACCCTCTTAATTCCTTTTAGAGTCTGTATAGTATTTCATTGCATGGAACCACAATTTATTAACCAGTCACTTGCTAATTGACAATGAGATTGTTCTCAACCTTTTGCTCTTACCAAGCTGCAGTGTGCATTCTTATACACACATCTTTGCTAACATGTGCAAGTCTATCTGTAGGATAAAGTTATAGGAAGAAATTTCTGGGTCCATTTGAAATTTTTATGGATATTGCCAAATTGTCATTCAGAGAAGTTGTACTGATTTATTCAACCATGTTTGAAAGTGCCTCAAAACCACTATTTGCAAAAATTGCTACAGGAATTTTTCAATCAACTATCCAAAAGCTGCAAAGATTTTAGCATGCTTAGATATTTTTCTCAACTCTAGTTGAATATACAAATACTGCTCATTGTTGAAATATAAAAACCCTGACAATAAAATGAAAACCAAGTTTCACATTTCAAGGATTTAGAAGGGTGATTGTTTATGAGAA